GGAAAGGACTACCCAAGACGCTGCGGAACCAACTGGAGCGAAAGCTCTATGAACTCTACCCCACTGATATCGACGTTACAGTGCCTTTCAAGAAGGAACGTATCATCGCCGCTGCTGAAGTACTCTTCCCTAGGAATCGATTCGACATGGACGACTCTGACGACGAAGAAGATCTCGGTTTCCTCAAAAAGCGAACGCGCTCTAGAAAACCTCGCCTATTTGCAGGGTATAACGACGACGACGACTCAGAATCTGACACTCTGATAGAGGAATCAGATGACGAAGACCGCTGGCGATCTCATCACAAGACCAAGAAGAACAAGACCAAGGACACCATCGCATCGGCATATCCACAGCAACTGGACAACAAGAAGCAGGAAGAAGTCGAACAGCTCATCACACAGCTCCACGGTATGTCTCTGAACGACCCAACTTATGCGGCTCTATACTACAGAGCGAAGAAGATCGACCCTGACATTGTCGGAGTCGTATCGGCCCCCTCAACTATGGTACAATCGACGCCTCAAGTTATGAACAGGAACTACAACTCGAATCCACCTATGCCGACTCAAGTTCAAGCACAGCCACCACCACCACCGCCGCCACAGCCTCAACCACAGCGACAGTATCAACAGCAATCACCCTCGACATTCCCCAACAGTTTTAGGGCGAATCAATTCATGTGTTACGGATGCGGACAGGCAGGGCACAGGATAGCAGTCTGTCCTGAGCTCAAGCCCTACCGTGATCAGCACTACATCAAGACAGTTGACGGACGACTCGTGCAAGCTAACGGCGAACCCATACCTAGGAATCCAGGCGAACCTATGATCAAAACTATCGAGCGGATGTTCCCAAGGTCAAATATCACTGTGGTTCCAGAAGAACTCGACCAGATCTGGATGAACAATGAACAAGAACAAGACGACGACGACGATGAAGTCACTGTCTATATGGCACGTGATGGATTGCGTAGCGGTACCAGACCCAAGGACGGCTCAAAAGCGAATCGGATCCCAGCGCACGACACCTCCTTCCCTAAAATGACCAACAAAGGATGGGTAGGCAAGCAGCGAAATCCTCCCAAGCCCGCGGACACCCAGCCTCAACACACCCCAGTCGACGTCTTTGACAAGGCATTCAACTCGGACGACTCGGACGTCATTATGGAAGACCCTCAACTCGCGCCTGTCACTATACTCAAACGACCTTCACCTACCACTCAGGAGAAGGACCGCGAAGCTCAGAAGTCTGGCAAACTGACATCTTTAAATTCTGAACAGGTCGACCACGACGCCATCTACAATCGGTTCCTCAACGCCAAGGTTGAACTTACTCAACAGGAAATCTGCGCTATCTCTCCAGAGATTTCTAGGCGAGTTGTCATGGATAACAAGCCTACCAGGTCTCAACTCAAGGAAAACAAGGAGCAAGAACCTACCGGACCTACCGTTGCAAGAATTATTGGCGACAATGCACCAGCACCGAAGCTTCCATCGCGTATCACAGAAGTTCGCCAGAGTCTCATCAAGATCAATGCTGAAATCAATGGCAACACTATACCTGCGGTCATCGACACCGGCTCTATGATCAACATTGTGCACAAGACCATCTGGGAACAATACATCAAACGACCTCTCGACAGATCTGTTACCTTCCCGGTAAAAGATGTCAATGGCGGAACAGGACGACTAATTGGCCTAGTTGGAGAAGTACCTATCGACTGCGGAAGAGCAAGGACGATCGCCCAATTATGGGTATCGGATTCTATTGACTTCCCTCTTTTGCTAGGGCGACCTTGGACATCCTCAAATTCGGTCGATATTATCGAACGGGACGGCACCTACCTCATATTCAACTACCCGGAACACAACGTGCAACTCGAACTCAAGGTCAGTACGGACTCGGACGACAATACTAATATTTCACAGACCATGGGCCTTACTACGGACAACGGACTTAGCGAAAATCGTGAACGCGCCGGGCCGGAACGTCACCGGTGGCGTGAGAAGCCGCCGCAAGACGCGCCTCACGTGCTCGCCACGCAACTACCAGTCATGGAGGAATGCGACTCTCGATCTTATCTCTCAGCAACACCGCCACCCCGACGCCCGACGACCGACACCGACACCGACAATCTTTTGGACGACATCGCCGCTCCTTCGAACTCGCAACTCGCCTGCGCCCAGTCAAGAGGCGACTCTACGGACCTCGACCACGACGAATGCCAACGCATTCAAGCGTACATTGACGCGGCCATCCGGTCGGGTCAAGGTACGCCTCATGCTCGTTCGGATTCTCCGGATCTGACCGCCGTTACTAACCATCATCAGTTCCTTCTAAATCTAGGAAACCCTTATCACGCCCGCCTCTTCACTCGACCACTGCGCGGCGGGGAATGGACGCCCCTCGAAGACTCGATCGCCCATCTCCCAACGGGGATGCGCAGGCTACTTGGTACGTACGGCACCTTCGAAGTAACGCTCACCACCTCAGACAATAGGCGGACGCGCGTCCTCGTCACCTTGGCGCACCCTCGAACGGCTCCCGAACACACGCCCTCGCCGGATTTGGCCCGACTCCATCAAGAACCCACCGATATAGATCACCGGCACGACCTCGACTCGCCTCATGAAGCCTCTTTGGGCCGGAACGACTCACACGAACGCCTTCAAACACCCAGCCCATCCGACAACAACAATCCGCTCCATCGCTCGTCTTCCCCTCTCGATCTCCCCCATGCTTACCGCGGCAGAATCGTCGAACTCGACGATGCCGGTGAGTACATCGGCAGCACTCAAACGTTATCCGACTCGAGCATCTCTAGGCACCCGGCGCGTCCATTGCTCCCTAGGACAATAGCTGGCCGATCGCCGCCAGCGGACGCCTCGATTCTCGAACCGACGGTCTCTACCACCACCAGCGACACCAGCGAGCTCCCACTAGCCGAAGCCGACCATGAACACTACCCCGACTCGCGAACCGAAGAGACGCCCGCTACGCCTAGGTCTCGGCTTAGCGAGCGCGGACGATCATCGCCGGTACGTACCGTTGCAGCATCTTCAAGGACATCGGTGATTTACGATGTCTCCTTGAAGATTCAGTCGTTAGGTACGTGCCGGGCGAAAATACGGAGCCGCTCGCAGCGAGACCGATGGGTAGAAACCCCGAACCTCGTACGCTCGACTCAAGACCCCGGACGACTCATCGAACACCTCAACGCAGCCGCCCTGTTTCGAGAAGAGATACACCCGCCCGACGGATCGAACGCGGTACTATACATCATCATCGCGCCCTCTCCCTACGCTAACGAACACGACGACTCTTCAGCCGACGGTAGCGGAACAAATACACCGAATCGGCGACAGGACGTACCTCCCGAAGATCCCCGCAGATGGCCGCCGTCCTTTCGACGCTCCGACCAGATGCCGCACTCCCCTTGCGAGCGGGACACGGGGTTACCACCAGACGAGCCTAGCAAGGATATCAGAAGCACGAAGGGCATGACGACGAGGTATACCCGGTACCCCATCTCATGTTCTCTGCAGGCTAATCCGAGCGGCGTCCCTTTTCTGCAGCCTGTTCGGTACCGCTCTGCCGAGATTGGAAGCCGTCTGTTCGCGACACGACTAAACAGGGACGAGGCGTCGACATCGCGAAACCTCGCGCCCCACCCAGACAATACCGCGGACGACTCCCGAAGGCAAGATACCCACTTCGACTCCCGAGCCAGGGCGCTGCGCAGGACGATCGGTGAGTTCGCTCCATGCCATCTGAACCAGTCGGCGCGAGGCAAGGCTTACCCAGACGCAATCCAGGCATACTCCGACTCTCGACGAGAAAGGACGGCCCCACTCGAAGGCAAGGCTATGGAACCGCCGCTCGTCAAACCCGCTATGCAATCCAACGGTCTTCTTCGGCAACCCATACGACTCTCGCACGGAACCATCGGTCCAGGCTCTCGCAATGAGCATAAAAGCTCAGGTGAGCGTTTGGACAAGCAAGTCCCCAGAAACATTCGCTTACCCTTCGCAAGTCTCTCAAACTGCACGCCTCACTCGAATCCGCCCCCTATGTCTCATGCGCAACCCAAGATTTCGACGACGAACCTCACGCTCGATGCGTACCCATCTCCGCCTCAAGAAACGACTTCTCCACTGGATTCTTCGCCCTCGACGACTCTCTCGCAACGGCCCACACCCGGCTCCAACGCGACAGTCAACGGACCGCTCGATATAGGACTCAAGAACGATATGATGTACGCTACTCGTACCCCCCTCTCTGATGCTGAACTTACAGAAATTCTTCGGTTCGGCAGAGAGGAGGGCGGCTGGACTCGCCTTCCGGACCCGACTTCCCCTTCGCCGGCGACGATCTATGCTCCGCAGCCCCGCCCTGCTACAAACCCCGACACCTCGTCGAATACGCTACACGCCAACTCTATACAATTCCCGAGCACACCGCACCCACTCACCGGACGCGTCCTCGACGACGAAGACTATCGGCCCATCGTCGCGGAGGCCGAAGGAACAAGCGAAGATGTCGACTTCCCTGGGTACTATCGGGCAGCCGGTTGTCTGATCCCTCTCGGCGACCCTCTATTCAGCGAGAATCAATTCAAAGCTCCGATTCGCGCCGAATCTCCCCCGTTCTACCCAAACTCGATCCATCTCCTGATGGCCTCCGACCGCTCGTACTTCAAGACTCTCTCGGCGCCTACGACCCCGGAACCCGCTACGCCGAACGACCCTCACTCGTGCACCTATGTCATCAAGCTGGTCCCTCGCGACGACCCTCGACTTAACGGCCATCCGTTCAAGCCGAGCCGACTTCCCGGCCCTGGCGAACCCGTTGCGCCGCACTGGGTCAACGAAGAGACCCCGCTGCTGTACATCAGCGAAGGCCTATTTCAGATTTTATCGGTCGGCTTTGCGCTTCGCCCGTTCCGCGATAGCGTAAGTCGATTCTTTCTTCAATTACCGACGGCCTCTAACTACAAGAACTCACAGGGCACCCTCGAATATCGCAAGAACTTCGACGAAGCGGTGGACCGTCTCCGAGAAGATGGTATCGACCCTTACCCTGAGCTCTTAGGGTATTATCGCGAGGACGGCTACGCCATCCCTATCGGCCAACCGCCCTCGAGCGACCACCGAGTCAAGCTGCCGATCCGAGCCACATCTCCTCCAGGATTCCCTCGCTCTATCCACGACCTCGCCATCGCGGCCCCTCTGGTTTTCCGACCGCTATCCGCACCTTCGACACCTCGACCCCCTGAAAGCCAGTACCACGTCTCGAGGACGTACGTCCTCGAACTGGTACCGCACGGCGACCTCCGGCTCTGTGGCCGCATGCTCCGAAGCAGCCGGCAGCCTCTGCATGGAGAAAACATCTCACCTCACCACACCAACGACTCGACGCCCCGCATGTACTTTGTTGAGGACGACTTCAACATTCTCGTCGGCATGACGAGAGAAGCGCAATCCGAGGCTTCTAGCATCGACTCACCGACGAATGGCTCTCTTCCGACAATGCAAGTACAGGACGAGGAGCTCCAACAAGCTCTGCTCAACGGCGAGTTCCCCGCCCTGCCCGACGAATACTACGCCGCCGCTGGATACGCAATTCCCGTCGGGGAACCGCCCGACAGCCCCCTTCGAGTTAAAGTCCCTATTCGCGCCGCCTCACCCCCCGGTCTCCCCGGCTCAATCCACGACCTCTCAAAGCAGATGCCGCGTATCTACCGCCCGCTATCTGCGCCGACGACACCCGATCCACCCGCACGCGACTATCCGACATCATGCATGTACACTCTCGAACCCGTTGACGACCGCGACCCTAGACTCGCCGGGAAACATCTCCGGGCTCTGTACCCCGAATCGGACGGCTCAACTCCCGTGTCGCACTCGGTCACCGACGATATGCACCGCCTACTTTTCAGCCACGGACTGTTCCAACTGCTGGCGCGGGTCTCGCATCAGGCCCTCTGCAACCAAGCCCGCGAACAGGTAAGCTGCTCGACTTACGCTCTCAGACACTTACCGGTACTAACATCGACTCAGGAGCTCGCAGAAATGCAAGCCCGACGGCACCATCTCGACGCGCCCGATGTCGACATGGACGACTCCGACCTTCAGGGTCCCTTGCGCGCCAACGCTCTCGTTCTATCGCCCCCGGCCCCACCTCACTTATCGCATTCCGATCCGCTAGCGACACCTCAACACGCACCTCTAGCCGGAAACAAGCTCTCACAACGCCTCGACCGACTCAGGATCGCGGAAGGACCCGCAGCTGAAGACCGCCCGCCCACACCTCGACCACCGATGGAAGGAATCGAAATAAGTGTAGAGCATCGGCTCCGATTCCCGCCCACGAACGCCATCCTCAACGACCCCGGCATGCCATACTATCGCACCGACGGATACTTGATTCCCATCGGCGAGTCCCCGACCAGCGCCAACAGGATCAAAATCCCGATGCGACTTCAAACGCCTCCGGGGTACCGCGGCACCGTCCACGCGCTTTCACAGGTCGATCCGTCCCTCTTCCGCCCGATGTCAGCGCCTCCGACTCCCGAACCAGCACCCGAAGACTATCCAACCTCGCAACGCTACCATCTCTTTCTCGATGCACCCCGGGACCCGGCCGAACGCCAATCTCCATTCTCCATCGAAAGCTCTCTAGTACCTCCTCAAGACGATCGCCCCTCGACGCGAATGCTACGGGACTCGGACCCATACCTCTGGTTCGACGAGGCCCTTTTCGACTACCTCCATATCACTTACCCCCTCGCCGACGGATGGAGCAACAACATCAACGATCCAGCGACGTGTCTCCCCGGCCCCGAAGGAGGCGACGCGCCCGAGTTGCCCACCGTCGACGAAGAGACGCACCTCGCCGAATACGACCGCCTCACCATCAACTACCCGGTCTCCACCGAGCGCACAACGGTGACGCCGCCCCCGTCTATCTGGCGCAATGAGAACGATCCGAGGTACGTCTATCTAAACTCAGTCTTATCCCCTAGAACTCACCGCCTCGCACACGCTAGCAGCGGCCCCGTACCGGCCTTCTCGCGCTCGGACACGACGACACCCGCGAGCGAGGAACGTCCTCGAACCCCCGCCGGCCGTGGACGTAGCATGTTCCGGGTCATGTATGACCGGATATGCGAGCTCACCGAAGCTACTCAGTTCACCGTGGCCGCGATCGCCACACTCCTCTCAAGCCACGCCTCATTCTATCGAACCGCCCGCACTCAGCACGAAGCCATGCAAGCGGCTCTCTCGCAAGTTCTCGAGCAGGTCGCTGCCACGTCCGACGCCGTCGCCGAATACGCTACCGACCACCGCAACTTCGTGGATCGACTCACCGGCGATATACTCGATCTTCAGCTCGACATCAACGCTATCCGCACCAATGTCGAGGCTTGGAATTGGACGCCGGAGGACGGCGACGAAGTTGACGGTGCGCTATTTCTCTTCACCGACAAACCGCCGCCTTCACTAACCACCACTCAGTCGACCATATCCTCCGTTCCTCATCAAGCTCCAGTTCGGACATCGACATATCCGCCGCCGACTACAACGACCTTCAGCCGTGAAGACTCTGCCGCAACGACCCCTCAAGATGCTACGCACCCCCAAGCGTGTTCGCAACCGTATCGTTCCACTCGCTCCGGCCTGCGTCGCTCTCTAACTACACGAAACACGCGCTCGGACTCGCGATCGACTATATGCGATATGGATTCGGACTATGTACATGTACCACCCTCCCCGGTCTCGCGAACTCGTATCCCTAGTCCTGCCAGCTCCCCGACTCCTCCGCCGCGGTTATGAAAGTTACCAGTAGCGTAGAAACTTCCCCTGTTGCTCGGAAAGTCATGTATCCTATGAGTAATGACATCGAAAATGTACGGAATGACTTACCTGGAGAATTACCGGAAATCTTGAGCCTCGGACTTCGAGTTTCTGAAGCGCCACCCACCGGGCTGTCGGAGTTTGAATCTACGGAGGATGAGTGGGTCACCGCGATATGGCTCGGAGATGCGGCCGACTTACCGGAGAATGTGCGAAATCAGCCCGAAGTAATATACCTTAACTCACAAATGTCGTATTTCAGCTCTAACGCAGTACAAATAAGGACTGAAGATGATATTGACAGCCAGGCATATAAAGCCTCGAACGGACTGTCTAGTAACCGTGAGAAAGTGAACCAGGAATTTGGCCAAACCGGGCAGATTGGCGATAAGGAACCGAAACATGGACTTATGAAAAATCCCGTGTTAGTATTTGGCGCGTACAAACGAGTTGACAGGAAAATCAAGCCAGTACCTGGAGTATACCCAGAAGATGCCAAGGTAACCAGGCAGTTTCCTCGCAACCCTCTGACTGGCTTGACAAAGTTACCAGAGCACCGATTTCTCAAAGATCCCCCGAAGGACGGCGACCTTGTCCTATTACAAAACACGGCAATTGAGAAATCACACAATCGGAAAGCAAAACCCAGGTATCTAGGCCCTTTCCAAGTCATTGGAAAATCAAAGGGCGGGTTGTATGTGATTCGAGAACTTGATGGAACGTTTATCAGGCGTGGCGTAGCGCCATTCCGGATCCTACCCTATCGGGCTAGAACACAGGAATATGTCCCGGCAGCCGAACTGCGGGAGGATCCATTCGAGCGAGATGACGTCATGGATACCGGACCCGATGAATTCGAAGCAGAACAATTCCACGAAGAAGACGAGAGTGACGGAGAAGGGTAAGAAGGCGGAAGAAGAAGTCTGAATATTCCACTCCGCCCATGAGAAATGCCAAGGGCATCCCTCATGTGAATCCTAGAAGGCTGAATTCGGGAAGCACGACAGCGGCCCCTGAAAGAAGCCATGACAGCCAGACAAACGGCGACCGAGCGCAGTACTCCAGACCACCGAAGAACGGTTGGTCCTACGAAAGGAAACGAAGCGCCGCAAAGCGGAAATGCTTGTGGGAAAAGTAAGGAAGCCTGCACACGCAAAGTACCCGCACGCAATAGTCTGACTGCTCCCCCCATACCGCGCACGCACGAATGGGACAGTCTCCCTCTCACCTCTACGTTCGCCAACGTCCTACTATGCCATACGATGAACTGTCGTCTGGACCTAATCCGTTCCCCAGCCAGGTAGACAACGCTCTACCTTCTCGATGCGAGAAAGACGACCAACAATCCATCCATAGCCGCGACCGGCTAGAGCTTCCCAGTGATGCTCAGGATTTCAACACGACCGACAGCGACACCGACTCCAGCTCCGTGACCTTTGCCGCCAACCCAGAATACTATAATCACTTAATGACCAACATCGCTCTCTGGCAACGTCGCTCTACTACAACCCCGCAGCCGGGGGACTTGTGGAGCATCCTCGACCCCGACGACCTCGCGACCATGTCATGGGACGAGTGGATCCCCCTCGTATTCGACTCCCCCTCTGACCGCAGCATGGCCGGATATGCGGGACATGACAGCTATAGCAGGTCCAACGGCCCACCCCTCCAAACCCTCCGACCCGCTCACCTTCTCCGACGAGAGGCCCTGGACGCTGAACCTGGTCCGGCACTCCCGGCTCCTCCGTTCCCCAACCCACTTATCCCGCGCATTTGCTGCCTGGACAACGGCAGCTTCTCGATCCTCGCCGTTCCAGTCGACGTGGAGAACCCCCTCATATGGACGCTCACGGCACCCATCCTCGTGGACGTACACATAGGCATACACATTTGTATGGAGTACGCCAGCATCTGGGTGTGCGGCACCGTTCGGTCCATATTCCGACTGCACGACGACTGCGTCACCTTCTTCGTGCAGGGGATTGTCGTGTTTTCCGGACAGGTCGTCAACTCAGAGCGCGTCATGTTGCGCGTCACGCCGGAGCTCGCCCGCCTTTCGATGCGAGATTGGACAAAGCACAACGTTACCAAAACCGCCGACGTGACCATGCAAGCCGGTACGTACGTCCACTACATGCTTAGATTGACTATTGTTCTAATTTAAGATTAAAACAGACGCATTCAGCAGCTGGGATGGACCACGGGTGGCAATGGCAAGGGAAGAGGACGCGTAGATTCGATATCGATTTTTTTGTATTAGAATACATGAACTCAGCGCTGAGATACGTGACGGAAATCGAAAGAAAAAGGGGCATACCGCAAGTAATCCAACAGGGAGTGTCTGACACCAGGACAATGAACCGGTAACCAAGGAATGAGGTAGGAAAGTGCGTGTGAATAACAATAAGCAAATAGAACGAAGTTAGGACGAGTAACCTTTGCCGCTGTCCATCATTCCCCTCCTTACTCGCTTACCATGGGACAAACGTACCGCTTGCGCAACTCTCTCGACCAAGATCTCCCAGCCGAAGAGAAAGCCCCTCCCCGTAAGGCTCAAAAAGATGGAAATACGACTTCACTGCTAACTATCAGGGTAGTCATGGTAGAAACACCTCCACTCCAGGCACCAGAGGAACCCACCCTGCAAGACTGGTGGATGGAGTCCGAGGAGCGTGCTATCACTAGTCATGCTTTGAGTAATGAGCGGGACTCCGAATCTACTTCTCCCACCTATTGGCCCAGCAATGATCCCCCTATCGAATCGACCAGTCATCTTCGCCCCCATACAACCAATGAGGCTACTAGGCCAGGCGAACTTTGGGATCTCCTTTCCGCAGAACCAAGAGAACACATTCACTTGGAAGACTGGGTTCCACTCGTCTTTGACACCCCCAATGACACCGAAAGACACGACTTTAGATCTCGGGGGTGCTACACCTGGAACATCGGCTCTCCTGTTCATGCCCTGCACCCAGCCAGCCTGCTCCAGATCGAAGCCCTGGATGCCGATGAAGACTTGCCGTACCGAGCTCCACCCATTCCAGACTCCATCATTCCACCTACCACGTGCCTAGACCGATGGTGTTTTACCAACTTTATGCCTCACCTACT